GCCCTGCATTTGCCAAAGATAAGTTCTAATATATGCTTTGAATTCCCTGTGATCTTTTGCTGTGAGGTTTCCTTCCTTGGTTTCCTTCCTTTACCTTCTTTCATATTGATGACCGTGTTTCTGTGTTTCTGTGTGTAACACATCTTTAAGCATCTTTTGCAGGGCTGGACGAGTGGCAACAAATTCTTTCAATTTCTGTTTGCAATGAAAAGTCTTTATTTCACCTTCATTCACAAATGATAGCTTTGCAGGATATAATATTCTGGGCTGGCAGTTGTTCTCTCTTAGTACCTGGGCTATATCTCGCCATTCCCTCCTAGCTTTTAGAGTTTCTGATGAGAAGTCAGCTGTGAGTCTGATTGGAGATCCTCTGAGAGTAATCTGACGTTTCTCTCTTGCACATTTTAGGATCTTTTCTTTATGTTTCACTGTGGAGAGTTTAATTACAACGTGTCGTGGTGAGGATCTCTTTTGGTCGTGTTTATTAGGGGTTCTGTGGGCTTCCTGTACTAGGATTTCTCTGTCCTTCTCCAAACCTGGGAAATTTTCTGCTAATATCTCACTAAAAAGGCCTTCTAATCCTTTCTCCCTCTCCATGCCTTCAGGAACTCCTAGAACCCGAATGTTGGGTTTTTTAATAGTATCCTGAAGATTCCCGACAATATGTTTCAGATTTCTAATTTCCTCTTCTTTTCTTTGGTCTGACTGTATCCTTTCCTGTTCTCTGTCTTCTAAGTCCGATATTCTCTCTTCTGCTTCACCCATTCTGTTTGTAAGGCTCTCTATTGTGTTTTTCATTTGATCTATTGAATTCTTCACTTCAGTCACTATCACAGTTTCCTGTTGTACTAGTTGTTTCGTTTCATTTTGATTCCTCCTTAATATTTCATTTTCACGAGAGAGATTTTCTATCTTGTCCATTAAGGATTTGTGTAGTTCCAGAATTTGTTTTTGAGAACTTCTTAATGTTCTTATCAATTTTTTGAGATCTGCTTCTTGCATTTCTTCTATGTCATCATCTTCATAATCTTGAATTGGGGTGTCTTTTTCATTTGAGGGCGTCATGGTGACTTCCTTGTTTTTATTACCTCGGTTTTTGCGTTTGTTATTTGGCATATTGGAGATATTTGGTTTCTTCACTGTGGTGCTTTTTCTTGTTATACTATGACTCTAGATTAAGTGGACTATCTGTTTTTGATGGAGCCTTAGGGCTTGAGATGGGTGTGGCCTGAGAGCTCTGTTTGGTGTGCCAAAGGTGACACTCCCAGGTTAGGCGTGGTGAATCTCTCTCTCTCTCTCTCTCTTTTTTTTTTTTTTTTTGATTCAAAAGGGAAGTAATTCCGCACAGCTGAATGAAGTTGGAGGTAGTTAGCAGGCAAATGATATACCCACAGGAGCCAGAGATCGGAAGCTCCTTCCCAAGATCCCCAGAGGGAATCTGTTCGGCCCTCAGAGTGGGCTCAAATTCTCCTTCAGCCTCCCACTGGGTTGCCAAAGTTACGGAATTGTAGCGTCTCTGGAGAGTGCTCACGTGAATTCCGTGAGTTCTCTCCCCCACCGTCTCTTTTTTCACAGTCTCAGTTCAGTAGCACCACAAATTTACTAGCTCCTAATCTCCTGTTAATTCGCCCCGCCCAGAGTCAGGTTTTTCTGCTAGGCTCAGGGCTGGTGCAGACCTGAGGTCGCTCTGCTTATGACGTATGTCCAAGATGGCGCCTGCTCTTTGTCTTGCTCGCCCTTGAGAGGTGAGCGGAGAGAGAGAAACCCGTGTCCGTACTAGTCACCCTTTTTTTTTTTTCTCTCTCTCTCTCTCTCTTCCAGTTAGCCTTGTGAACTTCCCCCCCCCCGGGGGGTCGTTCCCTCTAGTCTCCTCTCTCCGCTTGCCTGCCGGTGTCTCGGGCTATTGAGGTTCGGCTCACCTCGCGTTCCAGCGCTGGTGTGTTGAGTCTGCCGCTGATGTCCCAAACTGTGGGCCCCCACGCTGTCCACGCAGGTCCGCTGTGAGTCACGCGTTCCGGAAGAGTTTCTTCTGCTGTTTCCTCCCCTACTCTTCCTTGAACCTGCAGTATCTCCACTTTTATTAAACTATCTCTCCCCAGACTATCAGTGTGCTCCCTTCCTATTCCGCCATCTTGCCGCCAACGTGAATGTAGGCCTCCCCTTTGAAAAAGTTACGAAAATAAGGCATAAACACCCTTTGTGAGTTGATTTCAAAAATCAACATTTCAAAAATGAGAACAAGGCATATCACCAACTCACTCACTGAGCTTGTGTTGAATGTTGAAATTTCTGAACCCTACTTTCACCAAACTAAAGCTTGGGCATGCCAAAAAGGATCTGATAAATGTGAAGAATTTCTCAAAGATCCTAGATGTTTACAACAAACTTCTCCTTAGCAGAAACTCTGGGTGAAAGAATGAATTTCACATAGCACATTTCTCTGTATACCAAAGGTGTTATTCAGTTGCACCTAATGTATTGACATTACAGGAGAAATATCTCCATTCAGGAAATATGAATCCAGACCTGAGGGCCTGTGGTCCGCAGGTGCAGGAACTCCGAGTGACCCGTGTGACCCTCGGGCAGACTCCACTGTTCTCTGCCTGTAATCACTCCTCCCCACACTGGCTACGCAGAAGCGAGGATGGTGGCACTCATCCGGCTGATGTGTTTGACCTGTATCTTTGCAGGTCAATTTCTTCTTTTTGCTCAACATCGTCCGGGTGCTAGTGACCAAGATGAGGGAAACCCACGAAGCAGAGTCACACATGTACCTGAAGGCTGTGAAGGCCACCATGATCCTGGTGCCCCTGCTGGGAATCCAGTTTGTCGTCTTCCCCTGGAGGCCCTCCAACAAGATTCTTGGGAAGATCTACGATTACCTCATGCACTCTCTGATTCACTTCCAGGTAGGGACGCCAATGGCGTATTTTGTTAATTACTTGTGTTGTGAGTTGATTTCCAATTCTAAAGCCCATGACCCTAAATGTAATCGACAGCCTCCAATACAGCAAGCCCAGCCAGCATTCTAACGGAGACCAGATTTTTGTTTTGAGGCACTTGTGCCTGCTTTCCCAATATTCCTGGACCTCAGTTGGTCACACCCCTAACTACTGTGATTGTCAGAACCTCTTTCCCTAAATCAGCACCGACTCCGGGGAGATAAGGAGTAATGAACTTGCACAGAGCTACCTGTGCCTCCTGTTCTATCACCCTCCCATTGTCAGACAAATGTCAGGGATGCATCCATGCCCATTCACTGGCTGTAGAAGGAGTTTGTCCTCACATAGGAGAGAATGCAGTAGGATCTCAGGTGCTGTGCTAGGCCAGCTGGTGTCTTCCCCTGCCCTATTTCTGTTGACTCTGCCCTAGATGAGCACTCCCCACCCCGGAAGGCCAGTAGTGCTGGGTATTTTGAAAGCAAGATGGAACACAAGAGGTCCTAAGGCAGAGATGATTCTACTACAAGCTGTTAGGCCAGCATTTTGCCATCTCAATTTCAAATTTCCAGTTAGTTTTATTTTCTACTGATGAAAACAAATCTTAGAATGAGAAGTTGGTCAAAACAGAGTTCTAAAAAGAAAATTTAAAGATTTAAATAATCTGAGCTATTGTTTAACAGTGATGAAGACCTCAGGGGTTCCTTAGTCCATGTCTTTGAGGCATGAATTTGGATGTGGGTACAGTGCTGCCCTCGTACACCTTGGCAACCCAGGACACAGGCAGGCCCCCAGTCACCTGCTGTGATGCTTCTGCTTATAAATTTCTCTACTGAACTCAACAGGATCTCAGTTTTAGCCATTTTTAAGTACATTCTTTTCAAAGCCACTGCAATCAGCATATTCTGTTGTAAATCTCTGTGTTAAAGGAAGCAGTACATTAACCAGATGTAGTAGAGCTAGACTTATACTCAAATGATGGAATCCTAACAATAAAAGCACATGGTGCAATGTGGTTGCAGTGCATTGCTGAATACCAGTGATAAGCATCTTTTTCTTGCCTTTATATTTCATTGAGCCTTGACTTGCTATTGCAGTAGCGAAATGTTCCTCTCCAGGAAATCTCCTTCCAGTGATTATTAAACAACATGATGCATGCAAAAACAACTTCGACTCTGTTTTTCCTTTTCTTTTCAGGGATTCTTTGTGGCGACTATCTACTGTTTCTGCAACAATGAGGTAAATTCCATGTTAAAATTCGATATTGTACAGTTTCCCAAAGGCCTCTGTACACATTTCATTTGCTCTCACCCCTGAAGTTGACCTCAGAGCTGTGTTTTTTTCTACCACTCTGAACTAATCTTATCTATGGATATGTGGCACAGTATTCCAGGCAGGCAGCTAACTTCTAAGTTCCTTGGGTCACATCCTAACAGCAATAATGAAAAATATTCGGGATTCCCACAGAAAGAGAAGCCATGTCCCTCTTCCCTTTAGTGGGCCCAAACCTTTGCTAGGGCAGAGCCAATATCTAGCCAACTTGTTCACTGATTTCGTTTTGAGTTGCTTGGTTCTAGCTTATTCCGCATCTTGAAAATTGCTCTAATGTTAAATAATTTTTAAAAAGAGAATCCTCTGAGTCTTGACTATTTACATTAGTAGGCTTTAGAGATCCTTCATGGTATTTGTAGTCACCATACCCTTATTTTCAATGAAATCTTGCTGAAACATAATTTTCAGGTGAGAAATCTAAGCTCCATAAAGATCATGGGACTTGCTGAATACCCCAAACATAGTCAGGGTTATAAACGAGGAATGGAAACCTTCTGACTCCCAGTTAAATTCTCTAGCACTCCTCCAGAACATTTTTTTTCTAAGACTACAAGACTTAATGAAAAAGCATTTTGGATTTTAGATTCCTACTCTGAATAATTTTTATGGAAGATGAATGTCACCATGTTTCCCTGTTAGTAACTAGGACTATTTCCATGCATTATCAGCTGATGCTTTTTCTCTATTCCTTATTTCTTTAAACATTTTGCTGCCCTATGACCTGTTGCTCATCTCCATCCCCAGTGTGGCAAGGTTTTCATTTTTCATATTTTCTCTTTCCATTGGAACATTTAATTCTATCCTTCATCTACCAACTAATTCCTTCATTCAACAAAAAACCTTGTGCATTCACTATTGCTAGGGGTTAGACTAGGTTCCTAAGACCTCTTTTTAATGTGAGCTCTCCCTTGCTGAGAACAGTAAAGACTAATAAGCATATATAACTTGAACCTGACTTATGTTAACTTCTGTGAATATATATGTGTGCATTCCGAGTTGTTACAGTGGTCATGCAAATTTTTTGATCTAAAATAGTGTTAAACCAGGTCTCACATAAAAATCAGATTCAGGAGGGGAATATCTTGAAAAGCACGAGAGGTTCACAAACATTTGTGAAACTACTGCAATATTTATTGAGTCAACTATGATGCTGTCATTGGAAGTATCAAACAACAAACAAACCCAGAGGTACTCCTAACAACTGAAATGTCTCATTCATTCGAGTATGTTAACTTTCTTGAACTAAAGAAACCATTTCCCTTAAGTTCCCTATTACAGGAGGTACAAGTGTGACATTTCCAATAATACAGAAACTGTCCCGTGCCAAAGGTAATATCACAGTCCCAGCGATTTCAGGCATCCAGGTCTCAGCTGGGTATTCTGTATACACATCACCTTACCATGTGAATATAGGCCAGGCACTCCCTCTTGCAGGAAGTTATTTCTGGCTGCAATTGAGATAGAGCTATGATGGAATTTTGGCTGAATCGAATTTTAGCAGGGATCAAGGGGCTAATATATTAAAATTTGTATCTCCTCATTGCACAACTGATATATCAGTAATGTTACCAGTGAATCTTATGAAAATGGGTCTTAGAGGGTCCATAGGTAGACTAGAAGCAGGGAAAGAATTGAGAATTAAAATAATAGGAATCAAGAGCTGTCCATGAGGGAATACATTTTCTACAACAGTTCTTCCAGGTGCATGGACATTTAGGATCCAAATATAACAGTAAAATTTGAGGCATCTAAGAGACCTCAGAAAGATGACGGCAACAAAGTGGTTTCCAAATAGCAGCTCACAAGAGAGATACTGACAACCCCTGGATTTTCATCCTTTCCTGTGTTCCTTGCTGTTGTCCATGCCTTGTGGATTGTTTGTAGGTGAACGTAGCACGACTGGAAGAATCTCACCTTAACATCACAAATTTTCATGTCCCCTGTTCCACCAGCCTCTCTGGAAAAAAATACAGACACTTCCAAAGCCTTTGTCCAGAAGTGCCACTGATACCAAGTCACGCCAGCTCCCTTCACGCTGTAGCCTCCTTGACCAAGCCACTGTCTTATTTCAGTTCCAGACTTCTTTGCTATGCAGCACTTAAGAGCTTCTTCATGCCGTGCAGACTCTGTGACATTGCCACTCCACTGCTCGGTCACCAGTTGGACGTGGTACCAGGGACAATGTGACACTTCTTTGCAGGGCTATCAGAATCAAAAAGACGGACCTGCTTGAATGGGGTGTAACTAAGAAAGCAAATTAACCCTCTCCCCATTTTTCCCAGCTACGTCATGAGAAATGCAAGGTCGTTTTTCTCCCTCCCTTCTTTCTCAGGACCAGAAGGGCTCTGTACTCTCACTTCTGAGACTCTCCCCAAGTCACACCTTGTATGTTCTCTGTATCATGGCTGTTAGTGAAATTCAATTCTTTTCACTACATATGCAAAGAGCGTTCCTGTTTAGAAATTCTTTCTCTTGCTCAATAAAACCTAGTTTTCATAACTATTGTTTTTCCATAGACAAGAAAATGAGCTTTTGGACTCAAACCCAAGCAATAATTTCTTTGTTCTATCTGAGTATCCTCACACTTGAGTGTGCATCAGAATCATCTGGAAGGTTTGCTGGGCCCCACCAACAGCAGGTCTGGGATGAAGATAGATTTCTGAGTTCCCAAGGTAGTACTTAAAGTGTGGGATCTAAACCCAGCAGCATAAGACCATTCTTCTAGATAGAATCCAACTTGTTCTTGAAACAATGAATGCTCTTGGCTTAATGGGGGAGATGCAGGGGAATGTTATTTGAGAATATTATTTAGGAATATTTAAAAATGTTTAATTTTTGAACATTATATATTTTAGAATAAAAAATATTCCACAATACAGGAAAGTAGGTAACCAAAGGGAATTAAAAGCCCTGTTATTACAATGACATACTTAAATACTTCAAATTATAGAGCATGTAAAGTCTCTAAAAGTAGAGAGACAAGTAGAGATTTTGCTGATAATATTTTTACCCTTTTGGAGTGCTTAACTTTGTCAATAGTAGAAACATCCCTGAGCATCTGATTAATAAGGTTCCAGCTGCCAATCATAAAACCACTTAAAATTATAATTCCTTTCTAACTTCCAAGTGAATTCACAGTGCTTTTTAAAATTATTTTTAACTGAAGACACTAGTCTTGTTTATGTGATCCCTTTGGCTCTTAGTCCTATCATTATGATCAACTGTGAACAGAAATTGATCACTGGGACTAGTGAGATGGCATTGGTACATGCCACCTTGATTGGATTGAATTGGAATCCCCTGGTATGTTTCTAACTCTACCATTTGGGGCAAGTCAGCTTGAGCATGTCCCAAATTACACATCTCTTCCCTCTCTTATTCCCACTCTTATATTTAACAGCGATCACTTTTCAGTTAAGTTTCAACACTTAAGAATAACTGTGTATTGATTACAGTATTCAACCAAAAGTATTAAGTAGAACAAACAAAAAAAATACTAAGAGGGATAACGTACAATTAATCATAATGATAGGACTAAGAGCCAAAGGGATCACATGAACAAGACTAGTGTCTGCAAATACTAGCTGATAGAATAAAAAAGGGAGAGAATGACCCAACATGGGAAGTGGGATACACAGCAGACTCATAGAATGGCAGATGTCCTAAACAGCACTCTGGCCTCAGAATCAGTCCTTAAGGCATTCGGATCTGGCTGAAAAGCCCATGAGAGTATTTTAGGCATGGAAAGCCAAGACACTCTGGAAAAAAAAAAAAAACCCTAAATGAAAGATCTCCGCTAGTGAGATCCCAGTAGAAAGAACAGGTCATCAAAGAAGGAGGTACCTTTCTCTGAAGGGAGGAGAGAACTTCCATTCTGACTACGACCTGACTCTGAATATGATCAGAGTCGGTGAACTCAAAAGGCTTCCATAGCCTTGGCAACTCATGACTAGAGCCTAGGGTGATTACTGATGCCATAAACAAGAGTGTCAATTTGTTAAGTCAACAACAGGAGTCACTGTGCACTTACTCCTCATGTAGGATCTCTGTCCTTAATGTGCTGCACATTGTGATTTAATGCTATAACTAGTACTCAAACAGTATTTTTTACTTTGTGTTTCTATGTGGGTGCAAACTGTTGAAATCTTTACTTAATATATGCTAAACTGATCTTCTATATATAAAGAGAACTGAAAATGAATCTTGATGTGAATGGAAGGGGAGAGGGAGAGGGAGCGGGAAAGGGGGGGTTGCGGGTGGGAGGGACATTATGGGGTGGGGGGAAGCCATTGTAATCCATAAGCTGTACTTTGGAAATTTATATTCATTAAATAAAAGTTAAAAAACTTATTTTTAACTGAAATAGTGAGGAAGTAGACTTACATCTTTTCGTTCATTAGGTAAAAACTCCCGAGATAAGATAAACCTTATGTTCCAGTCAATGTGCACCTAACAGAGAAAGGGCAAAGTCAAAACAACTCAGATCCAACCACAAAGATTCCAACCTGATTTTCTTCCTTTTGGATGTAAGAACTGAGTCCAAACACCTACCTTCTATAGCTCTTTTTTTTTAAATAAATTAGAGAAAACTCCCCCATCTGTAGACTCAGTCCCCAAATGCCTGCAATGGCTGAGGCTCAGCCAGGAAACTCACCCTCATTTGTAATAGAGTCAGCTGGAACAATGTCTTCAAACCATCACACCATGGCTCACTCTTAAAGCTGTAAATGCATTTGTACAGTCAGGAGAAAAAAGTAAAGCAATTTGTGTTCTTCTCAAGTGAGTGATGAATTTATTTCATTCAAAACTTTATATGCTGTCTATCTCATTTGACAATTCCTAATATTTCTGTTGCTTTGGGGGAGCAGCTAGGTACTCCCTTTTTTTTTTTTTTTTTTTTTGTTCAAAAGGTTCATTGCTCTTTTTCTTGTCAACAAAGCAGTTTCAGGCTCAACCTGTGGTATTGTAGGAGGTAACGCCCCATGTTTAACTACTGACTGTCTTTTACAAATGGAAGCAGATTGTCATCCCCACGTAGAGAGATAGGTTCATTACTTTCTCTAATTGCATCCCAAAATTATAACCTTTCTGTAAAAATAATTTTGGAAAACCAGAAAAGGCTCTACACCTTTTGTACTCAAGCTTAACATATATGGATCTTCTGATGAGGATTATTTTGAAAGGACAGATAAGAAAACAATTAACTTTTATCTACTGGGCACTTTTGCAAACTCACTCTAAACTTGTCATTGTCTACCTTGGAATACCTGTGTAAGTTTTAGCTATGAGGATAGTCTTTGTATTTGGAAGATGATGAATTCATGGAAACTATTGATTTCCTTTACCTGGGATCATTGCTAATCCAAAAATACATTGAACCAGTATATTTCCCAATGCTTCAGACAGACATTTGATGGTTTCTAGGTTCTAAACAGACAGCACAACCAAAATAAAATTGGGCTTCACTTGAGACTACCACATTGTCACTGTCTTACTGCAGACACATTATACGACCTCAGCTACTCATCTACAAAGTGAAGATCGTAATAGTGCCCTTCTTACAGGGCTCTTGTGAGGATCAAACAACTTAACACAAATCCAGTGCTTGCACTGTGGTGCATAGTAAGCCATCGGTAGTCACTTAACTTCTACGGGCCATCATCCTTCATTCTATGTGGTTTCTGTCAGTGCCAAGTTCAGCTGCAGGATACACCTCACTCCTTAGCACTGAAACATCTTGTCTTAGTCTCTTAAATAAAATTAGAATACCAGATTATGTTGATTACCATTTGTCATCTTGAATCTTGCTTTGCTGTGTGAAGATGTATCTCCACTTACAAATCCCATGCCTTCTTGACTTGCTTTTCCTGGATCATTGAACTTTGCTTTCTAAGTAAGATATTTAAAATTATATGACAATTGTATGTCTCTCAGGGGACAATGTTACTTTTAATGTAAACAGAAAAAAGCATTTGTCACAGAAGCATTCAGCCTTATATTAAACAGTTTTGTGCCATTAGGTTTTTCTGTCATTTTTATCTTTTAGATATTTACAAATATAGGTAAAATGGTTTTCCATGATCAGCTAGCTAGATAACTTATATTTCTCCCAGATTCTCTCTCCTATGTAGCAGGTATACTTGTGTTTAACAGCAGAATGAACCATGGAATGACACAAATGTTTTATGTACTAAGCAATAGAAACTCTCAGAACTACAGATGAACTGTAGTTCCTGAAAGAGCAGAGCCCAAGCAGCAGGTTCCTGGTCTGCTGGTTGAAGTTGTCATATTAGAGATTTCATATTTACAGTTTCCCGACTTCAGCATCTTCTCTCCTCCTTGTGTTCAATAGGTAGCTTATCATATTTATAAAACTGTTTAGCAACCTGCCTATGGGTTTGAGATTTTGTTCTTACAAAATTGGCACTGCATTAAAATCAGAGTTTTATCTGACACACTGCACCATAAGCCATGTTGGATAAGTGAAAATCCACAGGATGAGGCCCTCACCATCAAACCCAGAACTGTGCCGGACACACATTTTCCTGACTATTAAGTGGCTGGGAGATCCTCTGCCCTCTAAATGGTTTCCCAAACCTTTCCCCCGATAGCACTCGTAAGCCACATCATGAAAACCAATCAACTTTCATTCATTGGATTTAAGAGCTCAAGCAGCCTGTGCTCAAAAGTAGCAAATAGCCTTCCCAGTGACAACGCAGTCCTCCAGTTTGCAAATTCTGCTTCCAAGAGTGCGTAGTCCACAGCCACAGCAAATACCACACAGCCCTCAAGAGCAGAATTGCAGCTCGGCCTCCCTCAGCCTCTGATGGGTGTTATGTGTGCTCATAACCTTCACGTGGGTCATCCGTAACAACCATGTGGAAACGAAACCCCTTCTCTTTTCCAGGTCCAGACCACCGTGAAGCGCCAATGGGTACAGTTTAAAATCCAATGGAACCAGCGCTGGGGAAGACGCCCCGCCCACCGTTCCGTTTCCCGCACTGCAGCCTCGGCTGAGGAAGGCGGCATCCCCGTTTATATCTACCACCAGGAGCCCAGGAATGACCCGGCCCACAGCCTAGGCGAGGAGGGTGCCGAGATCATCCCCTTGAACATCATCGAGCAAGAGTCATCTGCTTGACTGTGAAGCCAACACAGCATCGTGCTCACTGAGCCTTCATCACCTGGGGGAAAGATAGACCATGCATTTAAAGTGACCCCCCTCCTCCAGGAGCTGAGCATATCATTTGTGAAGAATTAGTAAGTGAATTTGTCCATAGTGAATCTGGAGAGAGTTATCCTTGGTACTATTGCTCTGGGAGACAGTCTAGGAATGGAGTCTCCCACTGCAACTTGTGAACTCCATCATTCACCCAAGACTGAAATGCAGATGACATAGTAGTACAAGCAAGGTATCCAAGAAAAACACAAATTGACCTAGTGCAGATACAGGGTGCTCCTTGTTAATCTTGAGCCATTTATACCTTTGAAAAATTAAAATCACTGTCAATATTTTTTCTTTTTAACTCTAGATTTTGAATCAGACTTTCTGTATTTGGCTATGGATCTGATTTTTAATCTTTTTATTTCGATCAATTCTGATGTATTGAAATGTTCTACCATCCATACAGTGTAAACCGCACAAATTACACGACCTCTGTGGACACAGTGGCTTTTTAACATCAAGATGACTAAGCACGCGGGGGAAGAGGGGAAGAGACCTGCATCTGGCAGGAAGACCTAATGCTTTGAAAGACAAATTTAGATTCAATTTGCTGGTAATAGTACGTGTTCAGCTTGGCTTTGGATAAGCCTGTCCATTGGGCAGGCCCAGAGTGCTGTAAGGAATTGGTCTAATGTTGACTGTGCTTTGTTTGCTGACATTATAAACGGAGGTCACAAAGAATCCATCACAAAATTTTTCAGAAAACTGCCAAAATCATAATTCTTCATGGAACAAAATGCTCTTAAAAGAGTTTTCCACTTTCCTAAACTCCAGGATTTATAAAGCAAATCACTCCAAGGTTTATAAAGCAGATTACCTCTTGCCCTTGGGTGCTATCTAGCAGTAAAAGACAAATTTGTTTAAGACTGGTAATTACAAGACTCCATATAAGTCCATTAACTGCCTTCCACCCTGCTTCAAAGCTTAACAAGATCTGGCGTTCCCAGGAAGATTCAGTAGTGCTAATTGGAAATCAGTTTGTGGTTGACCTCTTGTTTGCTGCTATTAGCAAAACAGGAGGGGAAAAATGTAACTCCTACAAGTTTAACCATATTAATTCATGTTCAAAGTAAAATTTCTCATTAAAACCCAGTAGTTTATTTCCACATCTCTTTAGTTCTCAGCATAAGATCTTTGAAAATCCCTGAATAACCTGGAATCATCACTGGCATCTGAAATTAATTTGTGAATTTGCAACAGTAATAGTTCTCATTTAATTTGGATGCTAAATAAGTTGAAACTTTCCAAATCTCCAGTCTCATCTATATCATTTATGCCACTGCCTTTCAGAAGCAATTAAGTTGTGGAAAAACAATCAATTGATTTGCTCTGGTTACACATTTAGTGCACTCAGAGAAAAATTCTATTTCTCCAGTGAAAATGTATTTTGGATACTAAAGTAGTTTAAGTCTCCTTTACTGCATGTAAGGGAGGAATTGAAAAGAAGGTATTTTTTCAATCACAGTGTTATGTATTAACATTCCTATTTTTGTTTACAGACATGAAAAACAGTATTTCAGGCAGCTCTAGTACAAATGTGATAATATATTGCTAAAATATTTTAGGTGTTATTGTGCTAATATAGTAGGGGCTGAAGAAAACAAAATAGCTTAAAATAGAATTGCACATAGTGCCAAAATGATGTGAAATGCTTATGTTATATATATATGTGTATGTGTGTATAAATTAATAGAGTATGTGAAAAGCAAAAAGATGTATATTTGCATTATTTTTCTACAGAAATATATTGTTCATCTCTTCATTCATTCATCTTGTCTCCTGATCATTCCATGCTTGCTTTTGAGTTTCTGCCATGGCCCTGACATCCCATCTTGTTTGTAGTGCAACAGGGGGATAATCCAAAAGCAGAGATTAGAAATCCTGTGCAAAAATATCAAAGTCTTGTAACCACCTTCAGTCTTCAATTTGATTATAAACTTAGTTCTCATACCATTGCTAGCACAAAAACTATACGCAACTGTCAATGTATATTGTTTAGGCTTAAGAGAGAATAGCAAAGAAATCTAGGGTAAGTAAGCATTACATCCTTTTATTTTTTTTTCATTATTTTGAGACCAGACTTGTTCTGTCCAGCATCGTATTAGAGCTTAAAAACTAATGATTGCAACAGTTCTAATATAGTTTTGGAGAAAGACTAAACCTAATTAAATATAATGAGAATGCAGAAAAGCTACAGTTGGAAAGATTTCATATCTGGAAAGCATGAATTGGAAACAGCAAGGATGAAATGAAAGCCATGATGAACTTAGAAAGGGGAACAGGAGCAATTTGTATGCTCTTCGCATCTTGGGGACAGCATCTACAGTTGTTGCCTTGTGAGATGATGTGGGTGATGCTTTTAGACAAAGGATGCGTAATGGCTCCATGTTTCCCCTGTATGTGCCAGAGGGCACTCCTAGTGGATACTATGAATCCTTGTGATAATGAACAAAGGTAATTTCCCAACATACCATGAAATCCGATTCAAGAGAGTAACTCTTTCAGAGTTACTACACTAATCCCTACTACAAAGTGAGGCAGAATAGGTCATTGGGTACAAGTCAATATCATGGTTCCACAAAGGAGGAAAGGTGTTGGAAAAGACCAAAATGCTTATCATAGAGCTGCAACCCTTCTTACTTATTCATCATCCATTCCTCACTCATTGATTCAACAGATGTTCCATAATCTTCCATTGCCAATGAAGCAAATGCTTCTTATTTTTTTTTTTTCCCAACCCCACTCCCTCCCGGCCCCTCGGCAGAAGCCCCAGGCAACTCAGAGTTCTGGGCAGTCCCTGAGAGAAGCAACAAGGCAGAGAGCAAGCCCCACAGAGCTGCCGCCATGTCGGCAGCACTCAGCAGTCAAGGCCGGCAGCTCCGGAAACCCTGCTGGTCTCCCAGCCGCTGCCGCCACGGCCACCGCTGGCCCTTGTCCGAAGCAAATGCTTCTTAAGAGTAGTTATCACAGCAAAGTTTCTTTGCAGTAGTGATTACTCCTTTCCTGTTGGTGGTAAAAAAAAAAAAATCAGAACCTGCTAAGTGAACCATCACCCTAAGATCCTAGCCACTGGTAATTTTGGGCGTGGGAAAATACGTGCTTCCAGGTGCGATCATTTGTGCTCATCAGCACTGGTCAAGAGAGCCCCAGTCGTAAGAAACAAGTCACAGAACAGAATCTCACAGTTCTTCCACTGGCTCCATTACAGCTCAACTACTTATCAAGCCACTTAACACATTAGGGTTTAAAATAACGTTGGTCATGAAGAGGAGATATCAAAAACCATATCTAGAGAAACAATCAAGCTAACTCAGTAGGAAATGCAATCTGTTAAGGAGAAAGTAAAATACCTTACTTCCATAAGCACATACGTTCAAACTTACATTCTTAGACTAGCTTAAGCTTATTTAAAATTGATTTCACTGAATAACATGGAATGGTGGGGTAGTGGAAACAGAGTATGATAATATGTGTACACACAGACAAAGGAAATTAGAGAAGTCACATTTGAAAATTAAGAATGAATTCTATTTCTGTAGGTTTTTGTTCTTGTAGATATGGAATTAACATCTGTTCAATATCACTGAATAACATGAAGCATTTAAAGAGAAAAAAGCCATTGAAAGTGTAACTTACTGCAAAAGTCAGATGATCTTTAGTGTGTCTTCCTCCATTCGGATTCACAAGCATCTCTGAAATTCAGATTTTCTTGATGTAAGAAGTAGCCATCAAATCTCCCAAGTCACTAATCCATGTCCATTTTCTATTTGCTGAGATTCAATCTTCCATGTAGCTTTCCCAGAAACCCTTCCCCTGAGACAAACTGCTCCACCTATTTGCCTACAGTCCAACAGCACCACCTCATGTCTCTGATGTCTGCTTTGTGTAGGAAATCTATTATTTTAATTAAGAAAAGTTGCCTCCAAATAAAATTTCAGAATATTGCTAGTGAAGTTCTAAACAAAAATTCAATAAATCCAGTTGGGATGTCTTTAATAAAAAAAATTAGGAACTCTGTCCCCATTTAATCCTGCTAAACTGGCTGTTCAAAGCTAGCACACTGGTCTCTTACCCAGAGACCATACACTTGAACATAGAACCATCCGCAAACTCCCAAAATCTTTGCACAGAAAGCTGGGTAGTCAATATTTTGACAGGAAATATTTCTTTGAATGCAGTCTTCTCCACTGCACCAATGATGTGTACAGTCATCAGGAGAGAGAGATTGTGGACTCAAAGTAACAGAGGACATCCCTTCAATAGAAATGATTTACGAATAAGAAGAGGGCTCTCCACCCATCATTGAAACACTGTAATATGTACTCAATATAAACAGGCCCACTCCTTATAACAACTAATCCTCTCTTTATCCTCATTTTCATAGTGAGAAAACTAAGTACAAGAAAAGCTGAGTAACTTTCCCGCCACAATTATACCATAAGTGACCAAGATAGGATTTCTATCAAGGTCACTCAGTGAGTGATCTGGAATTGCCATTCCTGATTGGCCCTAACACACTATCCTGCCTCTCAACCCAAGATTGTTCTCCTTTAATTCTACAGGCTATTAGACATCATCTCCTGTCGGTTGATAGTACAAGAGGGATTGCATGTAAAATGCATCTTCATTTGATCAAAATTCATTTATGGCCCACAGACTCCTTCAAATATAAGAGGTATTTGGATGAGATTCAGCATCCCTTAGTTTCAAAGACTTCTTTTTGGTAGTGACAGTTGTCTTTGGTTAGACAGAAATTTTTTCACATACAGTGCCAGTTTGCAGCTTCTCCACTTCAAATGTCATCTTTGAGCAGATATTTGGGAGACAAAACATGTTTTTGGGAAACTTCCCATGGTCTCTCAATTAGGTCTCTCTAACCTGAAGCCTAGGCGTAAGTAGGCAGAACTGCACTTAGCACTGTCTAGCAAGACTACAAATGATTGGCTTCAAGAATTGGGACCTGAGGAGTTAGGATGGTAATGACCATGAATATTCATTTACCAATCAACCATGTGTCAGGCAATTAAGAAAGGTAGAGAGTCAAGAAAGAATGGAACTGGAGGCACAATAGGGCTAGCCCAGGTGGCTAGTTCCCTCTCCAGATAGCAACCTGGGAGAAATCTAGGAGGACGTGTGCATTTCAAGAATTAGTCATTTAAAAAAAGGAATGGGGGGGTGGGCGGCACTGTGGTGCAGCAGGTTAATACCCTTGCCTGAGGCACCAGCATCCCATGTGGGCGTTGTTTCTAATCTGCTAAGACCTGGGAAAGCAGTGGAGAATGGCCCAATTCCTGCACCCATGTGGGAGAGTGATGAAGAATTCCAATTAATCCTGAAAATGTATTTTGGAAGACTTGAATAAAGATATTACAACATGCAAGGAAAGAAGAAATCACACAACAGAACCCAGTGGGACCACTGGTTATGAAAATGGAATAGCTGGGCTGGCACTGAGGCATAACAGGTTATCCTGTGCCACTGCAATGCTGGCATATCATATGGGCACCAGTTTAAGTCCCAGCTGCTCCATTTCCCATCCAGCTCCCTGCTAATGGCCTGGGAAAGCAGCAGAAGATGGTCTAGGTACTTGGCTCCCTACAAATAATTCTTAAGGATGTGTGACATACATAAACAAAGAAAGGTAGTCAGATCAGAATTAAATGGATTTGAAGAAAATTCCAAGATGGTGGAATAGGGAGGGAGCTTACTGCTCTAGGCTAGGGGAGAATAGTTGAAAGTGGAGAGTGGGCAATCTGAGGGATGCTGTAGTTCTATGTGAGGGTGTGGATTCACAGTGTGAGCATGGACACAACACAGGACCCAAAAACAGAGCCTCAGCACCAGCTTTGGAGAGTGAGGTGACACCAGACTGCAGCAGCCCAAGTCACTGGTGATAGAATTGCAGAGAAAGCATGGCATGAGTCCAGCCTGGATTCCTGTAGGGGACAAGGTACCCACCAACATAGAGGGAAAAAGGGGGATGTTCCTCTGTCCCCATTCCCCTGTCAACTGGCTGAGAGGGCAGGCACCATTTTGGACTTATGTCACAGCTGTACCAGCTTGTGTCCTTGTGCCCAGCAACCAGCAGAGGGAGATGCCTGAGTCTGGCTGTGAAGATTGACAGGGGCTGGGCACCCACGTAGGACTGTGAGGTGCCCCCACCCTCCCAAAACACCACAGGCTCTGGGCTCAAATTGCCTAGGCAGAGGACCCACAGGCAGCTGGCTCTGAGAGTATCTCCGCCTCTCTGTGGACAGGATCGATTGGCAGGGCACAGTGGATCCTCAAAGCCCCATGGCTGTGGGATCCTTGTGTGCTAGGACTGTGCCAGCATCCTATATGGGTGCCAGTTCAAATCCTGGCTGCTCCACTTCCAATCTAGCTCTCTGCTGTGGCCTGGGAAAGCAATAGAAGATGGCCCAAGTGCTTGGGCTCCTGCCTCCCACATGGGAGACCCAGAGGAAGCTCCTGGCTTTGGATTGGCACAGATCCGGCCATTGCAGCCAATTGGGGAGTGAACCAGTGGATGGAAGACCTCTCTCTCTCTGCTTCTCCTCTCTGGGTAACTCTTTCAAATAAATAAATCTTTTTTTAAAATATGCTTAAAGATGTGCTACATACAGAAAAACAGAAACATGATCATCACTATGAAAGAAGGTGAAGGCAGAAAATCTCCCAGTAAAAGCACAAAGGAAATCCTAAGTAAAAATTAGGAATATTTATGGAAAAATTGTAGGGAAAGTCATTATTTACCAATAGTTATCTTAAATGTAAATGACCTCAACTCTCCAATTAAAAGACACAGACTGGCTAAATGGATTAAAAAAGCAAAACCCATCTATTTGCTGCCTACAAGAAACACATTTCACCAAGAAAGATACATGCAGACTAAAAGTGAAAGGATGGAAAAGATATTCCATGCTATCAGAAACCAAAAGAGCTGGTGTAGCCATTCTAATATCAGACAAAATAGATTTTAAAACAAAAACTGTTGAAAGAGATAAAGAAGGGCATAAGTAATGATTAAGGATCAATTCAACAGGAAGATGTGCCTATTATAAATGTATATGCACCTAATTACAGGTCACCTGGCTATTTAAAAGAAATGTTAACAGACCCAAAGGGAGACATAGACTCCAATACAATAGTAACAGAGGATTTCAATACCCCAGCAATGGGCAGATCAGCCAGACAGAAAATCAGCAAGGAAACAGAATTAATTGACACTACAGACCAAATGGACCTAACAGATAGCTACAGAACTTTCCATTTTATAGCCGCAGAATATACATTCTTCTCAACAGTGCATGGAACTTTCTCTAGGATTGACCACATGCTGGGCCATACAGCAAGTCTCAGCAAAATTAAAAAATCAAAGTCATACGATGCATCTTCTCTGACCACAATGGAATGAAGGTGGAAATCAACAACTCAGGAATCTCTAGCACATATGCAAACACATGGAGACTGAACAATATCCTCCTGAATGAACAATGGGTCACAGCAGAAATCAAAATAGAAATCAAAAAATTTCTGGAAACATAGATGACAATACAACATGTCAAAGCTTATAGCATACAGCAAAAGCAGTGTTAAGAGGAAAGTTTACAGCAATTGGTGCCTACATTGAGAAATTGGAAAGGTACCAAATAAATGAGCTACAATACATCAAGCACCTAGAAGAACATCAAACCAAACCCAAAACTATAGGAAAAAAGAAATAATTAAAATTAGATAATAAAATCAAACCAAAAAAAAAAAAACAAAAAATATAAAAGATCAGCAAAACAAAGAGCTGGTTTTTTGAAAAAACAAAATGGACACACCATTGATCCAACTAACCAAAAAAGGGGGGAGAAGAGCAAAATTAATAAACTTAGAGATTAAAAAGTAAATGTAACAACAGGCACCACAGAAATAATCATCAGAAATCACTACAAAGAGCTGTATGCCAACAAACTAGGAAATTGAGAAGAAATGGATAGATTCCTGTACACATACAACCTACCTAAACTGAGCCATGAAGACACAGAAAACCTAAAGAGATCCAAAACTAAGATGGAAATTGAATCAGTAATAAAGACCCTACCAACAAAGAAAATCCCAGGAGCAATGACTTCACTGATGAATTCTATCAGACATTTAAAGAAGAGCTAACTCCAATTCTTCTCAAGCTATTCAAAACAATTGAAAGGGAGGGACTCCTCCCAAATTGTTTCTATGAAGCCAGCATCACCTTAAATCCAAAACCTGAAAAATTTACAACAGACAAAGAGAAGTACAGATAAATTTCCCTGGTAAACATAGATGCAAAAAACCTCAACAAATACTAGCCAATCAAATCCAACAACACAACAGAAAGATCATTCAACTGAACCAAACAGGATTTATCTCTGGTATGCAGGGATGGTTCAACATTCACAAAACCATCAATGTGATACAACACATTAACAAACAAACTGCAGAACAAAAACTATATGATTATCTCAATAGATGCAGAAAAAAACACATTTAATAAAATACAACACCCTGGCTGGCACCATGGCTCAATAGGCTAATCCTCCACCCACGGTGGTGGCACCCCAGGTTCTAGTCCCAGCTGGGGCACGGGATTCTGTCGCGGTTGCAACTCTTCTGGTCCAGTTCTCTGCTGTGGCCTGGGGAGGCAGTGGAGGATGGGCCAAGTTCTTGGGCCCTGCACCCACATGGGAAACCAGGAAAAGCACCTGGCTCCGGGCTTCAGATCAGCGCAGTGCGCCTGCCGCAGTGCACTGGCCGCAGCAGCCATTGGAGGGTGAACCAACGGAAAAGGAAGACCTTTCTCTCTGTATCTCTCTCACTGTCCAATCTGCCTGTCAAAAAAATAAATAAAATAAAAATAAAATACAACACCCTTTCATGATAGAAACTAAGTAAATTGGGTATAAAAAGAACATTCCTCAACACAATCAAGGAATTTATGACAAACCCATGTCCAGCATCCTATTGTATGGGGAAAAGTTGGAAGCATTCCCACTGAGATCTGGAACCAGACAAGGATGCTCACTTTCATCATTGTTACTTAATATAAACCTGGAAGGTTTAGCCAGAGCTGTTAAGCAAGAAAAAGGAATCAAAAGGAATACAAATTGGGAAAGAGGAAGTCAAACTATCCCTATTTTCAGATAACATGATTCTATATAGAGGAGATCCAAAAGACTCCACTAAGAGACTATTAGGGGTTGGGGCTGTGGCGTAGTGGGTTAAAGCCCCAGCCTGCAGTGCCAGCATCCCATATGGGTGCCGGTTTGAGTCCTGGCTGCTCCTCTTTCCAATCCAGCTCTCTGCTATGGCCTGGGAAAGCAGTAGGAGATGGCTCAAGTCCTTGGGCTCCCACAGCCACATGGCTTCTGGCCATGGCTTCAGACATTTTTCAAAAAAGGCAATTGAAATAGCCAACATACACATGAATAAATGCTCAGGATCACTAGCCATCAGGGAAATGCAAATCAAAACCACAATGAGGTTTCACTTCACCCCAGTTAGAATGGCTTTCATACAGAAATCAAGAAACAACAAATGCAAGTGAGGATGTGGGAAAAAAGGTACCCTAATCCACTGTTGGTGGGAATGTGAACTGGTAAAGCCATTATGGAAGATAGTAGGGTGATACCTCAGAAATCTAAATATAGACCTAACATATGACCCAGACATCCCAGTCTTGGGAATTTACCCAAGGAAAATGAAATCAGTATATGAAAGTTATTTGTACCCTATGTTTATTGCAGCTCAATTCGCAATAGCTCAAACAGAATCAACCCAAATGCCCATCAACTATGGTTGTACGCCATACACTATGGTTTATGTACACCATCGCATACTACAGAGTGCCAAAAAAAAAAAAAAAAAAAACATGAAGTCTGGTCATTTGCAACAAAATGGATGAAACTGGAAAAATCATACTTAGTGAAATATGCCAATCCCAAAGTGAGAAATACCATGTAGTCTCCCTCACCTGTGATAATTAATAGAGTACCTAAAAGGCAATCTATAGAAATGAAATTGACAGTTTGAGAAGCAATGACTTTGAACAGCCCTTGTCATGACTGTTGTGGAACAGTTTTTTTTTTTTTTTCCATACTATTTTTTGAAGACTTTATTTAACATAGAGTTAATCACATGTGTATAAAGTTAACTGAAAATATAACAATAAAAAATAAGAGTGGGAATAAGAGAGGGAGGAGGAAATGGGGTGGGAATATGATTGAGAGGGCAGGCATAGTGGGAAGAATCTCCACGTGCCTAAAGTTGTAATTATGAAGTTTGTAACTATACAGTGATATAGTTCTGCATACATTCCTATGGACTTTTTTTTTTTTTTGACAGGCAGAGTGGACAGTGAGAGAGAGAGACAGAGAGAAAGGTCTTCCTTTGCCATTGGTTCACCCTCCAATGGCCGCCGTGGCCGGCGCACTGCGCTGATCTGATGGCAGGAGCCAGGTGCTTCTCCTGGTCTCCCATGGGGTGCAGGGCCCAAGCACTTGGGCCATCCTCCACTGCACTCCCTGGCCACAGCAGAGAGCTGGCCTGGAAGAGGGGCAAGCGGGACAGAATCCGGCGCCCCGACCGGGACTAGAACCCGGGTTGCCAGCGCCGCAAGGCGGAGGATTAGCCTATTGAGCCACGGCGCCGGCCTTGGACTTACTTCTAAGGGTACAGTTTAAAAACTTGCCATGGGACTCCAAATCTCCTTAAGCTGGGTGGTAAAAATAGCATTTTAAGTGTTAAAGCAATCATATGGATATGATTAAGTATTGAAATGATCACATAAATAGGATTAAGTGTTTGGTAATAATTGTCGGGGAATAGTCCGCGGCGGCATCACTAGGTGGAGGTTTTCACTTTCGGTTTTGACCGGGGGGCTTTCCTATGGGCAGTGCTCTCCAGAGGCGGAGGGATCGAGGTCGCGGTAAACAACAAGATAGCGCCAGGACCCCCGCAGTGAGTCTGCCTGCCTGCCTGCTGCGTGACACCTCACCTGATTGGCCAAAGGACATGTGCCCTTCACGTGAACAGAGACCAGATTGGTGTGCCTGATGCATGGACTCTAGCTTGCTCCTGATTGGTCGCATTTTTTATATAAGCCACGGGTGTAAGGAGGAAGCTCTCTCTCTCTCTCCTCTCCTTTCCTCCTTCCTTTCTACCTTTGTCACGTCTACTTTCTCTAATAAAAAGTCTACTGAAGACCGATAAGCGTTGTTCATTCTTTTCTCGCCCGAGAAACCGTCATCGCGGGTCCTGGGTTGAGTCTGCTGGCCAGACTCCCAGATCGCCCGTGGCAAATAATAATAGAACTAAAAAGGAGTGAATGCTCCAACATGGGAAGCAGACCATGCTGCAGATTCATAGAATGACAATTGCTTTAGGTAGCACTCTGACCTCAGAATTAGCCCTGAAGGCATTTTGGCCTGGCTGCAAAGCCCATGAGAGCATTTAATGCATGAAAAACCAAGACATCATGGCAAAAAAAATGTTCTACATGAAGGATCTCTGTGAGTGAGACCCCAGTGGAAAGAAGTGGTCATCAAAGAAGGATGTACTTTTCTCTGAAAGGAGGAGGGAATTTCTACTTTGCTCACAGCCTTCTCTAAATACTGATGGAGTTTGTGGATTCAAAAGGCTAATAGAGTATGAAAAAACGTAATGTGTATGAGAAAAATTGACATTGTGAGATTTATTGATTGTTACAGCCCTTGTCTCTAATTTTGAGGAACAGTGTTACTTTCTATTTTTTAAACTCTTTAGTGTATGGTTAATCTTATGAGCATAAAATAAACTGGAAGAAGATCAATGTAAAAGTTAAAAGAATAAGAAAGGAAAAGAGAGAAGGAGGGTGCCAGCATGAGTGGGAGAGGAGTGTAGAGTGGAAAGTATCACATACTCCTAAATCTGTGTATATGACATACATTAAATTTGTTCACCGTAAATACTAAGTTTATCTAAAAAATAAAAATGAAAATTCTAAAATAATCCTTCACACATATAGGAACTATAAAAAGAACAAACAGACAAAAGTTAGCAGAAGGAAGGAAATGATAAAGACTAGAGTAGAAATAAAATAGAGAATAAAAAAATCAACTGTGACATAGAAGATTAAGTTACTGCCTGCCAGCATCCCAGCCACACCATTCCTTCCAGCTCCCTGCTAATGCACCTGGGAAAGCAGTGGAAGACAGCTAAGTCCTTGGGCCCCTGTATCCACATGATATACCCAGAAGAAGCTCCTGGCACCTGGCTTTGGCCTGGCCCAGACTTGCCATTATGCCCATCTGGGGAGTAAACCATTGGATGGAAGACCTCTATCCTTCCCCCTTTCAAAAAGTAAATCTTAAAAAAATTATTTTTAAAAAATAAAATTGAGAAACCTTAAGCTAGACTACAAAAAGAATAAAAATCAATGAAAGAGCAAACTTTACAACTGATCATGCCACAGAAATAAAAATTATCATGAGTCTACTACAAACACTTTGACACCAATAGACCAGATAACCTAGGAAAAACAGGTAAATCTAGAAACACACAACATGCCAAGAACCGAATCATCAATACAAAATCTGAACAAATGTGTAACTAGATATAAGATTGTATCAGTAATCAAAAACCATTCACAAAGAAAAGCCCTAGACCACATGTGTTTACTGCTAAATTATGCCACTTTGCTTTTTAAATGAATTTTAGAGCTAAATTTTTAAAACATTT